TTGAGACAAAACAAAGGCACTGATATATTTTAAGATCAGTCAGTGCAAGTTTCTTTCAGTTAAAACAGCTTTAGTCTGGGACTAGGCGTAAGCCTTGTCTGTGAAACCAGGGGTAAATGTAAATAAACAAACACTAGCTTTCTATTTTTTCTATTCTATCTACTTGTTTTTCTTTGTGTGTGTGTGTGTGTGTGTGTGTGTATAATATATATATATATATATATACACCTTGCTACGTGTACTGCGTTAGGCTAATCGAGACTTGTCATTTGCACTTATATATTGTTGCTCTTTTGTTAGTTTTGACTGCTTTTATTGTCCTCATTTGTAAGTCGCTTTGGATAAAAGCGTCTGCTAAATGACTAAATGTAAATGTAAATGTCATAAACTAGGTTACATAGTGCATAGTTCAAAAGCTGTACCTTATTTAACACTAAAGGCATGTTAGCACCTAAATGGTATGCAAACACACACACACACACACACACACACACACACACACACACATATATATATATATATATATACACTTCCAAAAGTATGGTATTATCATGGTGCATGTAAAATAATAAAATAAAAATCAATCAATAAATAATGCATTACCATTTTTGTACATTAAAATCAATCAATCAATCAATCAATCAATCAATCAATCAAGCAATCAATAAATAAATAAATAAACTGAAAACTAGATATTCAGTTGGTATAATGCCCAAATAACACTAATAAGGTGCTTTAAAAAAGAATACCACAGTATTACCATGTTATATGTACAAAAGCATGATAACACCATGCATTTACTAGAGGATACTTATACAGTAGTCAACATTTGAAGTGGATCAAAAAAAATCATCAAAGTTGTCCTAAGACAAGAACGCATTTTGGTTTTAAGTTTTAGGACAACTTTGATGAAAGGTTTTTATCCATTTCAAATGTTGACTAGTGTGTGTGTGTGTGTGTGTGTGTGTGTGTATATATATATAAAACCATTTGTTCTGAGAGTGTAGTATGTAATTTGGAACACAATTATATTGCTGTTGCAGCTATAATGCTAGAGTTTTGCGTTTTGGTGTGTTGCTATGCAGTTTCTAGGGTGTTCTGGGTAATTGCTGGGTGGTTGCCAGTTGCCAATAAAATAATAGTTTTTTCTTGCTTTATTATCCGTTAGTTATTGGCCAGAGTTTAATACTTGAATCGAAAGTATGCATCCCATGTCTGTATTTTGCTGTGGTTTGCGGACAGTCCTTCAACACAGTTTGCTGATGTGTGAGTGTTTTGTGAGTGTTTCGCATTAAAAGAGGGTTCATCGATTGTATACATCTGACGTGTTAAAATTTCAACAAAGCTTTCAAATTTACCAAGATTTAAAATTGAAGAGAAAGTCCGTCTAACACGGCCATCTGACCTTAGCATATGGAGTATACTTTGAAACGGGCGGCGTTTCTGTATGGCAGGGTATGGCAGATGGGACTCCACACCGATGGAACGCGATGCCATACCTTATGGTTTTGTGAAACGCCACCACTGCTTTGAAAGGCTTTCTGGCCTTAATGAAACAGGCTGTGTTCAAACTTCCAAACACACAGATTTCACATCGGGTTTAATTGGTCAGGTGAATTTGCAATGGTGACCAACAGAATGCTGCATGGCTTGAAAATTTAGTTTGAAAAAGTTCAGATTTTACCAAAGCTTCCAAATGTACCAAAATTTAATACTGGGGGAAAAAATGACATCAGCTTCAGGTCTGTATATTAAAGGGTTAGTTCACCCAAAAATGAAAATTAGCCTGTGTTTTACTTACCCTCAAAATATCCTAGGTGTATGTGACTTTCTTCTTTCAGACGAATCCCATCGGAGTTATATTAAAAATTGTCCTGGCTATTCCAAGCCTTTCAATGGGGGTAAGCGGGTGTTGGTTGTCAACAGTTCAGAAGACGTGAAGTAAAGTGCGTGCATCCGTAATAATAACTTATTTTTGCTGCCAAATTCAGTCTTTTTCAATAGGACTGAGATTGGAAATTTCATCTGAGGGCAAACATTTTACCATGCAGATTTTCGCATCTGGTTCAGTTGGTCTTGTAAATTTGCTGAGTTGACCAACAGAAAGCTGATTGGTTTGAAAGTGTTCATATTTTCATCAAAGCTTCCAAATTTACCAAAATTTTACATAAAAATAACATCAGTTTCAGGTGTATATATTAAGAATAAAGGTGCAGTCCCATTTACTGTTGATCACTGAATTTTCACAGCCGAAATTCAGCAATTTCGACAGTAATCCATGCGCTTGGTAATTTTGCTTAAGGGCAAAATATTTCCCCATGTAGATTTTGCAACAGGTTTATTTGTTCACGCGACTTTGGTGTGATGACCATCAGAAAACTGCTTGGTTTGACTTCTGCGTGAGCTGTGCTTTATACAACACTACACTATTGACAATATACAATAGACCTCTTTCAGCTAAATTTCGGTAATGTGACAGCACTTTAAAGTTTATATTAAAAGCACTAGTGTGCTGACACAAGGTCGAACCCCTAGAAGCCCATCTGACAACGCCTTGTTTGTGTAGGTCACTCTAGAAGAGGATCCCCTTTCTCATTTACAGCTGCTACACTCTTAAAAATAAAGGTGCTTCAAAAGGTTCTTCAAGCGATGCCATAGAAGAACCATTTTTTCAAGCGATGCCATAGAAGAACCCTTTTTGGTTCCACAAAGAACCATTTAGTCAAAGGTTCTTTAAAGAACCATCTCTTTCTTACCTTTTTGTAATCTGAAGAACCTTCTTTCGCCAAATAGAACCTGTTGTGAAACAGAAAGGTTCTTCAGATGTTGAAGGTTCTTTATGGAACCATTTAGACAAAAAGGTTCTTCTATGGCATCGTGAAGCACCTTTATTTTTAAGAGTGTAAGAGCTCTGTGTGGTTTGACATCTCTCCCTTACTGCCCCAAACTGACCTCAGTCGTAACCCAGGAACTTCAGCCTCTGTCTGGCTGCTCCAGTTTTTGAGTGGGCCACCAAATCACTCCTCTCACGAAGGAGAAGAGCGCTGGAATCACTCGAGTGCAAAAAGGCTGTACAAATCCTGCATTAGCACAAAGAAGATGTCTGGAAAATAATGTGGCACGGCACCAAGCCATCTACGGTGAAATTAAAAAGTCTGTGGGGCTCACCGAGTGAAGTTACTGACATTT